TGCTAGAATTTTGACTGGCTTTGTGACAAACTACAGATTACAGAATTGAGAATTTAAACCTGAGTCATCTGACCTCCATACACGGCACACATGCCCTATGAAGTTCTTCCATTTTCTGCAGCAGTACTTCATGGTTTTCAGGACTGCAATCTTGGACATCTTTTGTCAGAAGTATCTTTAGGTGGGGCACCTGGGTGGCTCAGTCGGTTGAGTGTCTGACTTCAGCTCAGGTCATGATCTCGCAGTTCATGGGTTCGTGCCCCACATCAGGTTCTGTGCTGACAGCTCAGAGCCTGGAGCCTGTTTCAGATTCTGTGCCTTCCTCTCTCTCTGCCCTTCCTCCATTCATGCTCAGTCTCAAAAATAAACTATTAAAAAAAAAAGAAGTATCTTTAGGTACTTCATATTTTTATGCTTTTATAAATGGTGTTATATTTTTAACTTTATTTTCTTTCTGCTGTTAACATGTAGAAATAATCTTGATTTCTGTATATTGAGCTCATATCCTGAAACCCTGCTAAACTCAGTCGTAGCCTTTTCTGTAGGCACCATGGGATTGTCTACATACATGAACAAGACATTTGTGAACAGTTTCTTTTACAGTCTGGATGCATTTTGTTTCTTGGTCTTACATTACTATACTGGCTAGAATATTCAATAAAATGTTGACTGAAAGTGGTGAGACCAGACATCTTTTCTTTTTCCTGATCTTAAGGGGTGAACACATAACCAAGCATGGTGGTAGCACTAACTTTCTGATACATGACAATGATCAGATTTAGGTTCATAGCAAGTTACAACTGACAAAAAACACTGACACACCATTATCACCAAGTCCAGAATTCACATTGGAGCCCACTCTTGGTGGTGTGTGTTCTATGGATTTAGACAAGTGTGTAATGATAGTATCCATCATTATCATATTATACAGAATATTCACAGTGCCCTAAACATCCTCTGTGCTCCATCGATTCATTCCCCGCACCCCCCACCCCTGCCTCGGCAATGGCACCAATCCATGGCAGCAACTGATCTTTTTACTGTCTCCACAATTTTGCCTTTTCCAGAATGTCACAGAGTTGGAATATTACAGTAGCCTTTTCAGACTGGCTTCTTTCATTTAGTGATGTGCATTTATTTCTTCCATGTCTTTTCATGGTCCAATGGTCCATTTCTTTTTAGTGGTGAATAATATTCCCTGGGGGGATGGACTACTGTTTATCCTTCTACCTACTGAAAGACATCTTGGTTGCTTCCAAGTTTGCTGTAAACATCTGTGTGCAGGATTTTGTGCAGACATATGTTTCCAACTCTCTTGATTGCTGGATCACATGGTAAGAGTGTGTTTCTGAGAAGCTGCCAAACGGTCTTCCAAAGCAGCCTTATCTATCTGTATCCCTCCAACCATGAATGTGAGTACCTGCTGCTCCACATCTTCACTGGCATTTGGTGTTGGTTTTGGCCATTCTAATAAATGTGTTGCGGTATCTCATTATTTTAACCTACAGTCTACTACTTTTAAAATCAGTATCTGAGACAGGAGAGCAGAAATTGTAGATGATGATTGTGGATTTATCTTCCTCCTAAAGTGCCACTTATTGCTTCACGCTATTTGGAAGCTGTTTTATTCAGTGTATAAACGTTTGAGATTGCTTTGTCTTCGTGAAGAGTAGATCTCTTAACCTTTATGTAATACATGCTTGGCAATATGCTTCTCTGTCTTATCCACTTTATTTTATATTAGTAAAGACACTCCATTTTTCTTTTGATTAGTGTTATTATGATAGAGATTTTCCCATCCTTTTAATCTTAACCCACCTGCATCTTTATATTTAGTATAAGTGTTACAAGCTACATATAGCTGAGTGGTGCTTTTTTTTTTTTAATCCAATCTGACATTCTCTGCTTTTTAATTGTGGTATTTATGTGTTTTATGTTTAAGAGGACTTATATAAATATGTTTTAGATTACTTTTTATTATTCCATTTGATCTCTTTTTTTGCCTTCTTAGTTTTATCTCTTTTTTTGCTCAGTACCTTAGGGCTTACAGCTTGCATCCATATTACAGTGTATCTTCAGGTGAGATGATTCCACCTCACATATAAGAACCTTACAACAGTGTATGTACCATCTCTTTGCTCCTTTATGCTGTTGTCATACATTTTATACATGTTATAAACCCCAAACATGGTATTATTACATTAACATCATCTTTATGGACCATTCTTCCTGCATTTTTGTGAACCTGCTAAGTATTCACCAGACTCCGAACCAGCATATGCTCTGGAACATGGTTACATTACTGCACATGGTTTGATCCTTCAGAGATGCTTACTGTCCAGTTTTATTTATTTATTTTATTTATTTATTTATGTTTTTTATTTATTTCTAGGAGAGAGAGAGAGAGAGAGAGACAGCATGAGCAGGGGAGGGTCAGAGAGAGAGGGAGTCACAGACTGAAACAGCCTCCAGGCTCCGAGCTGGCAGTCAGCACAGAGCCCGACACGGGGCCCAAACCCACAAACCGCGAGATCATGACCTAAGCGAAAGTCGGACACTTAACCGACTAAGCCACCCAGAAGCCCCATGTCCAGTTTTATTAAATGGAAGCAGAGCAGCCGTTAGCCTCAGGTGGACCGTTTCCCTTGCTGTGCCAATGTCCTTCTGACACTCTATCGGATGCCCTGTGAAGGGCAGACTTCCCACTTTGGCTGGTGGGCACATAAACTCTGGGCAACCTTTTTCAAGCTCCAGGGATTTTTCCTTTTCTCCTTTATGGTAGTTCTTCCTGCAGTGTCCAGAAGTTCACTCTTGCAAGCATGCTAATCAGGACTTAGCTGAAGACCTGAGGTCTCTGGAAGGATTTGCCACGACAGCTGTCCTCTCTCTATTCTGTCCTAAAAACTCTCACCCCTGGCATCCGGAGAGCCCCTCCCCCCAAGTCTATCTTTTCAACTTCGGGAAACCAGGACTCTGGCTGGGTCCCTGGGCTGTGTGGGTGAGCAGTCACAGGACCCACCCAGGACTTGCACTTCCCACCTTTAAGGGAGCAATGCCCCGTGCTGCTCCATGCCTAATGCTTGAAAATCAGGTGGGAGCTCTCTTACTCCATTTTGGCTAGAAGCAGAAGTCAGATTTGAGTTTTATCATAAAACTGCTCTAATGGCTGATGGGTTCTCTATGAAATGACCATGAACTAACTTCCAGCTTCTTCAGGAGTCACTCTGGTCACTAATTGTGCAACTGGAAGGGATGTTAGCAGTTCAGGGACGGCAGGCTCACAAAGAGGGCTCATGTTCTTGGCCTTCAGGTGATGTACACATGGCAGAATGTCAAACATAGGTCTGTGAGTGACATCTGCATGTAGCCAAAGCCCCGTGGTGGGAGCCCTGTTTGCTGCCACCTGTTTGCTACTGTAGAGGCCACTGTAGGTTTCTACTGACAGAAGTTGCAACAGTTGGCTGGACTGACACTGATCACCCCAGTTCCTATACACCTGGCGGTGAGGGTGTGGTGGGCACAGTGGCTTAAGGAAGGCCCACCTCACCCCCCAGTACACAGTTCTCCATTCAGTTGTCCTTGGGAATACCCACTACTTGCCCACAGGTTTTGAAGGTGACCTGTACTATAATAGCATCTGATGCCAACAGAATACTTCACTTCATGCAGAAAGGTTGAATCCAGTGCTTAGAGGGTCTCTTGTCTATTTCCCAAAGTCGCAACAAGATTGCCAGGTCAACAATCTATGGCCACTTTTGGTCCTATGAGCCTTCAAAATCCCTCCTTTGCAGCTTGGAATTTTAGTCTCTGTACATAACATCACCTTAATGGGTCACCCTTCCTGCCAGGGTGATGGTTTCTGAGGCTAACAATTTTGTTCTGACACAGGTGGCCAAGGCAGGCTGTGAGGAGTGGGGTAAATCCCATCATCAAGCAAGGCTGCTCCTTTACTAACAATCGTGGATCCCTGGCATTGTTGCGGGCTCTGACTCTCCTCCACACACCTGGCTCCATCTTGGGGTACTGACACTGAGGGGACCTGAGTGAAGAGCAAAGGGGAGAGCTGCTAGGCAGGGGTGAGGGTGGAGACACTGGCTTTAGAGCCATTGCTCAGACGGAAATGGGCGCCCCACAGACCTTCCCTATAGGACTAATCATGGGTCAAAGTGTGTGGCCGGGTGAATCTGTCAACTGGTCCCACACTCAATCACACCTTGTGGGTTTCTCTTTACTTTCTCTGCTATCTGACTTCACAGGGTCTGGATCAATGTGTGTGACCACAGGGCTACAACCACACTGAGTTCGTATCACCATGAGTACGAATATTCATGTCTCTAATATGTTTTTCAACGTCATTTCATGCAGGACCCTGTGCTGCCCTTGAGACTGCCTAATTAAGAGTTCTTTGTCCATCTTACGTCTTTACAACTGACGCTAGTTTCCTGTTACTCTTATAGGGTATAGTCATACCCCCTCATCCCAACAAAGAAAATCATAAAGCCAGAGGATAAGAGAACAAACAGAAGCACTGGGGGAAAGGGCCGTGGGTGGCACTGGCTAGAGGGTGACCTGGCACACAGATACAGTGACCATGGGTAACCTCTGAGGACCAACAACACAGTGGTCCAGAGAGGACTCAGCAAACCAGTCTGGAGGTCACGTCCAACCCACTGTTTTGTAAATGGACTTTTACTGGCACAGCCATTTGTGTACCACTGTTTCTTTTCACATGATAAGGGTCAAGTGGAATAGCCTGTGAAGCCTCAAATATTTAATACCTGGTTCTTTACACAAGAAATTTGCTCCTGCTTGGTCTAGAGGTAAAGATACTGAAAGTTCTTTGATTCTGATTGGGCAGGAACACAACCATATATCGCCCACAGATGACATGTGTCATTTCTCAAAGATGCTGCTGAGGCATACAAGCAATAATAGGCCAATTGTCAAAGATGAAAATTAGGTATCACTAAATCTGAAATTCTGCTTCCTTCTCATTCTAGAAATTAGATGGTAGAAAAGCCAGCATGAAGTCTGCAGGTTTACTTTGTCTCCTTCTGCTTATCGTTTGTCAAACTGACTTTGGACAAAATGAAGAGGCACCTAGAAAGCAGCGGAGGAAGATGTACTACAGAAGACCGAGGGGTAGCTCCTCGCCCGCCCGCAGGTCCGGTAGGCAGCTGGGGCTCCAGCAGACGACAGTCACACCCACAGCAACACGTCCCATGCTGAATCTGGACTACAGCACAGAGGAAAAGTTTGACTCCTTTTTAGGTTTTCTTGGAGTAGAATCAAGTTATAACGTGCTACCAGGTAAGAAACAGAACCTCCATGAGGATGATTTTCCAAAAAAATTTTTTTTCATATTATTATCTTTTGGTTTAATCTAACGATAAACTTTGAAATAATTTAAAATTTCATTTATAGATTATTATAATACAAAATTATTGGAAAAGAAAAAATAGTTATCCCACAACTATATTTATAAAACCACTTACTATTTTGGTTTATTAATTTCTAGTCTGTTTACTATGCCATCCATGTATTTTACATAGTTGTATTCAGAATACAGATAACATACATAAAAAGCTGTAAACTGCTTTTTCATTTATAGTGACAGATCATATAGGATATAGAAACAAATTACTCAGATGACTCTATGAACACAGGGCTGTTAACCAGGGCCTGAGTTAGGGGAGTACTATGGGGAGGGAGAGGGCAGATCGAATGCGAGAGCCCACCTGAGGGTGGGAGTTGGGGACAGGAGCTCATCCCACAAAGGAGAGGTATCAGAAGTGACACTGGGTCGGAAGGACAGCATCTCTCTTAACATTCAAATCAAAGCAGGCTGTCCTGATGGCCATCTTGGTTGACACACGTGTCCACATGTGCGTAACCTGTGCACTGGAAGTGGAGGCACTGAAGGCTGCGGCGCCGTGCATGGTACAAGGATGAACATGATGGCATGTAACACGGTGGCTCTCGAAGAAGGTGCAATGTCTCCCTGGGAACCAGTGTCAGAGGCACTGCGGAGGCATGCCATGTGGCTTGGCTGTCCCATCCACACACTGGCAAGTGTGGGGTGTGGGATCATCACTGGGGCTGCCCCTGCTCTGCTCTCTGGCACTGGACGAGCTGCGCTGCCACGTCTCTTCTGAAATTACGTACGGCCATCTCATTTGCTTTGGTCAAAGTAATGAGACACTTTTTGGCCTTTTTGGGATTTGCAAACTCCCGTTCTCTCTGCTTTGGTCATCAGGGCAGCCTGCTTGCAGATGAAGCCTGATGATTACTGTGGGTGGCCATCCAACGCAGAGGCCCTGGACACAGGGCATGGACTGGGAATCCCTGATACCTGGGGTGGTTGTTGCTATTGAATAACTTAGTCACCCCGACAGGCACAGTGTGGAGGCGCGGTTCAGAGTCAAGCTACCAGGCCGAGGTCATGCTCAAAGCCTGAATGAGAGGCTGAGGGAAAGCAGGCGGACGCCCCTCTGGGTTTACATATCTGGATCTAGGTACCCCATGCATGATTGCACAGGAGCTTACAGCATTTCTGCTTCTCTTCCAGGAAAGAAGGGGCACTGTCTGGTAAATGGGATGACCATGTACAACAAAGCTGTATGGTCTCCTGAGCCGTGCACTACCTGCCTCTGCTCAAATGGAAAGGTGCTATGTGATGAAACTGTGTGCCCCCCTCTGACGTGCCCCCATACCGTCACACCTGAAGGAGAGTGCTGCCCAGTCTGCGTGGATACTGGTATAAGTATTTAGCCAAAACAAAATATCACATGTGATGGAGTCTTCAACTTCCATTTGTTTTTATTTTGTCACTGCCTTAAGTTTTAAATTAAATTATGGTAAACTAGTTATCAAGGTACTGAAGATACTGGCACAGTGATGCCAAACATAGATGGTATTTGGGAAAATGCATGGTAGGAGATGGAAATAAAAGATCTAGGCTTTATAGTCCCAGCTCTGTCAGAATGAGTAAACTCGGACCAGACCACACTGTGTACAGAGAAGCAGTTCAGAGAAGCTTCAGAGAAGCAGTGACAGAGCTGACACAGCCCACAGTTCCCACGTTACACACAGGGTGTCCCTCAATCCGACTCAAGGTGGGTACGTTCAGACCACCACAAAGACGAAGGACTCTTGATGAACAGAGGAGAGGCAGTTCACATCTGGAGAGAATAGAGCCCAATGACTCTGGCCTGTTTTCCTTCACTAATCTGGGGACATGCAGGAGTGTGGCCCTGAAGCAGTGACCACATCTCGGGGCACACGTGTGTGCAAGAAGGCCATGCCATGTGGCCTGGTGCATGTCTGTCGTCCCCTACACTCACGAGGCTCATGCCTGAGTGATAGACGACTGTTGAGAGGGAGGCCTAGGTCCCCAGGAAGAGCCTAGCCAGTGCCTGATGAAATCAACAAATGCAATAAATAATTTGATGGGAAAAAATAGAGACAGATTTTCTCTGGTCTATAGTCGAGGTAGATGGACAGTCACAGGGTGGTTGTCTAGAGAGGCTGCCTACCAGGAAAAACTTTAGAAAACTTAGGAACTGCATTTTTGTTTATACTATCCAATATTTTACTAAGGTATTATGCCTTTAACAAAATGTTACCAGATATATAGGCAAGATTGAGAAACTATTATTTTTCAAAGGACTTGGAATAATCTTGAAATGCTGTGGTTATTTTGGAAAAATAAACTTGGATATACAGGAAGGATTTTAAATGTTTCAATATGATAGCTTTAGTTTCCTTTCCCTAATGTTTTCCTGTTTTCCTTTTCAATGTTCTGCCAGAGATGTGAAAAACTAACTCACTGACTTTATAATATACACTGGGCCGAAATCTCAAGTAATTCCTTCCAATAGTTATATATTCTGAGTTCCTTTTCTGGGTGATTTATGTCTAGATGACTCAGTAAATGTGCATGCACTGGAGCTCACTTTTCCCTGAGGTCCGGTGACTGTCAGGCCGTCCCTACTTTCTGCTAAATGTGAATGCAGGTGAGCATGTGCCACTGACATTGTGCCCCCGTCATCACGGAACAGTGGGGAGTACCCTTGCGCACACCTACAACAGCGTCATCTGACTCCAGGAGGCCTTCCAGAAGGTCAAGCAGTAAAAGTCAGACTAGAGAGTCTGGGACAAACTCTAGGGACAAAGTCTAGAGACAAAAAGGAAAACTCTGTAATTTTCAATTTCAGAAGATGCTTTTGGCCATCGGGCTAAAAGAAAATCAGACAAAAATAAGAATAAATCTACAAACAAAAGCCAGTTTCACTACCACAAGCAAGTAAAATACACGTTTCACTTTTATGTCTGGCGGTACAGATGCTTATACTGTTAACAAGTCCAATTAACTGAACCGTATCTATTATAAAGGTCACACTTCATCACGTTGCAACTTCACATAGGACTGCTTATCACTGTGCATCATGTGACATTATTCCCTCTTCATTACCAAGTAGCATGGCATTTTAGTAAAAATAAACATTAAGGCCACAGGCAAAACAAAAAGTGCCTAAAACAAATCTTAGAAGTAAAATTTCAAAATGTATCTTATCTGTAAATCACACTCAAGTACCTGGAGGGAATAATATTTACTAACCTCATCTTCACTATGATTTTTCCTTTTGCTAATGTTATAACCTGCCCCTGCTGGGTCCCCACGGTTGGTAGCCTCTCTCTGGCCACTCAGTGGTACAGCTCTAAGTGATACAAGTGAATTTTCTGGTGATTCTTCAGAACAAAAAGAATCGACCAACTTACCTCGTAAGCAACTGCCACTTCATCGGGTGGAAACGGATCCAGTGTTGCAAAAAGAGGAAATTCAATTTGAGGAGGATGAAGAGGAAATTAACGAAGATAAAGATAAGGAACAGAAGAAACAGACCCCTGGCCCCAGAGAGCAGGGGAGACCCCTCACTGAGGGGTGGAGCAGAGAAGGGGGAGAGCAGAGACCCCTCGAGGAGGGGAGGCAGGCCCATCAACGAGGACATCCAGGAAGGGAGGAAGAGGAGGAGGAGGAGGAGGGGGAAGATGGGGAGGAGGAGGAAGATGAGGAGGAGGAGGAGCACGATGACATCATCAGAGGAGACGTGTTCAGGATGCCCTCGAGACCCCAGGGCTCCCCCACTCCCAGACGCAGGCCGCCTCTACCCAGCGGGTGCTCTCTGTCCTATAGGACCGTCAGCTGCATGAGCGCGGGCCTCACGCAGATGCCACCGCTGACGGCACCGGAGATAACAAGCCTGGAGCTCGCTGGTAAGAGACGTGGACGAGCTTTGTTCTGTCCTTGCCCTGTTAAGAGTCCTATTTTAATTTCATGATATAAATTGATCCCAAACACTTTTCGATCATAGAAATAAACTTTGCAGAAGCAACAGCATAGTTAGGTGTAAGCACATTTCTCCAAATCAAAACACGATTTCCCCTGGACTCTTTCCTTCAAGTCGGCTGTACTGAGGTGTGGTAACTTATGGGGACGCGTGCAGCTGTTTAACTGTCCCCACATTCAGGGTGCAGAAAACTCCCATCCCCGCCCCACACTTGCTTGTGCCCGGGTCTCTGCTGAGGTGACCTGCTTCAGGGCTTGGGTGTCCACAGCCATCACCCAAGTGGGGTCATATGGCATACAGTCTTCCCAGCCGGGCCTCGTTCACGTGGCGCCCGGACGCTGCCCCTCAGGGGCTGGTGGGGTGCACAGGGACCACAGGTGCCAGTGTGGGGCGGCCGCACAGACAGTTCCGCAAACATCCACACACAGAGGCCCATGTGGACCCGGTTTGCTTCTCGTTAACACTGAGTGACAGAGTAAACTTACATTTGACGTTACAGGAACCTGCCCGTGGTTCCCAAAGCTGGCCACGGCCTTGCTGCCAGAGATGCCCTGCATCCCCCACCGGCCTCTCCCTCAGGTTAGCCACTCAGGGGGCCTGGAGGGGTCCCATCCTCTGCCCTGTTATTACGGGGCCGCCAGAAGGGTCCTGAGCACAGGAAGAGCAGGACCAGGTGTGTGTCCGTCCGCTCTGAACACAAAGGGTGAGGGAATCTGAATGGGGTTTCAGGTGTGCCTCAGGGGAAACCACAGAAATAAACTACCAGGGAAATAACAAGTGAACGTGTAATCGTACATACATTCAACAGACGACATCAGACACCGTGGTTCAGGACGGCCAGTCTGTGAAGGGACACCATCCTGAATGGCCCCTGGGGAACCCCTCAGGCCCAGCAGTGTCCCCCCTGCTCAGGGCTAGCACGTCAGGTGCGCTCTGCTGTAAGAAAACCCAATCCTTGCAAGTCTGGAGTCATGAAAAATCAATGACCTGTGCTCAGTCATACTATCTTGGTTTTACAAGAAGGTCACCATATGGGTTTTATAATACTCCCTATTTCTGGGAAGCTCATTTTCTAAGTTTAAAATAATTGATTATTGCACTTAACTGTCAAAACAAAATCCCATAAAATTAAAGCATCTAGAATAAACTTCTATAGATTGCGGCCAATTAATTGTAACATTAGTTCTGGAGGCCATCTGAGCTCCTCATTTAGAGAAGGAAATTTCAGAAAGGTAAGTGACGCGTCAGAATTTCATGAATAACAAACAGTCTCGGATTTCTGGCCCAGGGTCTAGGACATGTCAATGGGAAAGTGTCCTTGCCTTCTCCGGGTAGAGCTCTCTTGCTATCTATGCATGTGCACAAGTACACATTTGTGTATGTGCACACGTATGTGTGCACATGTGAGCCTAAGTTACAGCTGCTGTGTTTTCTAGGCAATGCCATCACCTCCATTCCCGATGAAGCATTTAATGGACTGCCGAATTTGGAAAGGCTCGACCTGAGCAAAAATAGTATCACCTCCCCGGGCATAGGGCCCAAAGCATTCAAGGTATGTATACAAGCTCTGCCTGCTGAGTGATGACCCCCTTGGGCAGCCCTGTACTGGCAGCAGGGAAGGGGGAGACTGAAGTGTTTTCACTGTAGCTCTTTCCTAGGAAAGTCTCTTCCCTGATGTCTGTAAACCATTCAAGTTTTATCCTGATCGCCGTCTGTAGGTTTCCATGCTTCACCCTTAGAGCACCACCAATAGCAAAACGACTAAACTAGTACTCTGAACTTATGGAGCAGCCTCTCCCCAAGCAGCTGAAAGTATGCTGGAATATGGTCTTTTGGTACCTGAGGTCTTTCTGGAAATAAAGCAGAGCTTATCTGGAAACTATTTACATTTTCAGGCCAGAAAGACAGAGCTTTGTGATTTTGTGCCAAGGGCAAGACCTGATGAAAGCATGAGCAGGACAGGGTTCTGGAGACGCAATGGGTTCAGATGAAAGTTAGCCCAGGGCAATGGGGGAAAGATAAGGGAGACAGGACAGGGAACAGCACAGAAGAAACTTTTGGAAGACTTGCCATGTGACTAAAATATTTCCTAAAACGGGACAAAAGGACAGAGGACCAAGAAGTGTCAGAGAAGCAAAGGTGGAAACAAGAAAGAAGGGGTCTGTGTGTTAACAAATACACACGTGTGCGCTGTAAGAAGCCCAACAAAACACTGCATCCCACGAGGTCAAATTGTAACCCCCTTATGACTCTTTGTGCAAATCACTGGGTGCATGTGTGCTTAGTTCCTGGCTCCCACGCAGTTTCTGGGCTGGTTCAGGAAAGGGCTCCAGGCACCCGTGGCCACAGTCAAGTCACAAACCTGGAGTCCTGCCGTGTGACAGCTGTCCTGCTGCATCAGCTGGGACTCACGCATCTCCTATGTTTGATCAGAAAGACAGACACAGAGGAGAGCATCTCTTTTGCTTGTTTGGGGGTCCTCTGTCCCTTTCCCAAACTGCTAAAATTTGAGTGCTGCTGAGCTAAGTCACTGGAGAGGCGTCAGCGCTCTGCAAGCACACACCCCAAACAGGGGCACATGGCTTCCTAAAAGGGCTGTGTGGGCACCATGACGGGGGCACCATGATGGAACAGCTTGCAGTATTCGTAGACACTCTGAAGAAGGTCCATAATACTTGGTGCTATTTTATGACTGTTTCCACTTAGTATAACTAGAAAATTGAGGTGTGCAGATACACTGTAAGGACTCAAACTGCTATCGTTTTTTCCCCCTAATGTTTATTATTTTTGAGAAAGAGAGACAGACAGAGCCTGAGTGGGGAAGGGGGAAGAGAGAGAGGGAGACAGAATCCAAAGCAGGCTCCAGGCTCTGAGCTGTCAGCACACAGCCCAACAGGGGGCTCAAACCCATGAGCTGTGAGATCATGACAAGCGCCGAAGTCAGATGCTTAGCCGACTGAGCCACCCAGGCGCCTCTCAAACTGTTGTCTTAACTGCTAGCATCTATGACAGATTCAGAGCACCACGTCTACTGCTGAGAAGGTGGAAACCTAAGATCTAGCAAAATGTGACCGGTCCAGTGGTGACAGGGACTTTCTCTTGCTCACTAAAGCCACAACAGGAAAATGGGTGGGTGGGATACAAAATCAGACCCAGTCTGTTGACAATGCTTCCCGGAGGCGCAAGTGAGGGCAGGCGGGTCCGTGAGGCTAAGCAGGGCTGTGCGCTGGCCACTCAAGGACACGTGTGACTGCACATCCATACCAGATGAAAAGGTAACTTGAGATTCACTTTTTAAGCTTCTGAAGAAGTTACTACGCCTGAATATGGATGGGAACAATCTGGTAGAGATTCCTCCCTTACCATCTGCATTAGAAGAACTTAAGATCAACGACAACAGTCTTCAGGCTATCAGTGAAGAGAGCTTATCTGGTATGTAACGTCTGGTTAATGTGTGTCCTTACAGCCTTCCTTCTGTGGTCCTGTGGAAACTTTATTTGCAATATTGCCAAAGGGGCTGGTGAGTTTTTTAGGCCACTTTACCATTTAACTTGATAAAATGTATTAACTCCTTGTATGGTTGATTCTGGACCAAACTGAACAACTGAAGATATCACACTGTGAGCTTGGCATAAAAGAGGTAACACCACGCAAGCGGTTCACAAATGCTGGCTGGTGTCTCTGCTGAGGCCAAGTGCTGCATCCAGACAAAGGTGTCTAATGCTTCCTTGCAGCCTCCCAACAGTCCAGCACAGCTTGTGAGGTACGGCGCTCACCACTTCCTATTTATGTGATTTGAACTATTTTAATGTTAACGTTGGTAACCCAAGCCTAAAAAGACTTAAACAATTTCATTATTTCTTTTTACTCCTAAAAAACTTCATGAGGAACAAAGCCCTTCTGGTGATGGGAAAAAAACTAGTAATCCCAAGAAATGCCAAGTCTGAAAATTACAGAGTTCTGGAAATATTCTATTTCCAGATGGACTACTGAGTACACATGAAAGGCATCAATACACACAAATTGTGATGGGCTCTGTCATATGGAAAAGACATCAGAAAGTGCAACTTCTAACCGCTAGGTGAAACAGAGGCTGAAGGAACACTTAGTTTGGGACAGTAAACTGATGGGGGTCTGTGAACTGCATGTGAGATCACCTTTCTAGCTCCATTTTCAAGACGACATGTTACAAGGCAGAAGCCCCTATTGGGAAGCTGTGCTCACACATTCCTGGCAGTGGCCTTTCCACATGCTCGCTCCCTCACACACACTCTCCCGAGTGCAGGCACCGATGGAGGCCTCGGCCATGAGTAAGGTCTCAGGTCACGGTGCCCAGAGAGCCTCTACATTCTGTGCTGAGCCCACTGCCGTGGACTGTCAGCCAGCTGGCAGTAAGCAGGGTGTCCCTGAGCGCAGGCCAGATGCTGCTCTTCCCGCAGGGAGGGAAGCCCCTGGCTTGACCATCAGTGGCCTGCTACTCTCCACGCACTCTTGTAGCAGGTCTTCACTCACGACCCTTCACGGTACAGACAGTTCCAGAGAAGTGGACAGGAGGGGTGGTGCAGGGAGAGAAACAGCACGTGCAAAGGTGCATTGAAACAAAAGGGACCGGGTGCGTCCGGGAGAGCAAGGGGCCCCCTAGCGATGCTTGCGGGTGGCCACCACTCCGCATTCCCCTGTGTCCCTGACCTGCCAGGTTGCTCCCCACCCCACAACAGGAAGGACTTACTACCAACTTCCTGCTTACACACCTTCTTTGTACTACATCTCACCTACAGGAAGCTGCTCTAGGTCCATCCTGTCTCCTATCACATACGATACACACAAAAACGAGAGGGTAACCACAAACTCATGTATAATGTCATGAATTTTCACTGGGTATTATGTTTCTCTCTCTCGTGAGGTCACATACCAGCCACTGGTCTGCTTTTGTTATCTGTTTTTCACAGGAAAACTTCCATCACATCCCCAAACCTCAACTATGTTCTAGATAAATAAGCTGGATTCTCAGTATCTCTAGTTTCAGAAATTAGAACATGAGGAAATAGAACCACTTATCAGTTTACTGGCTGGGTCTCTTACTTCCTCTCAGCCCTTCAACTGATGCTACAAAGGACTCACAGACCAGTGTCCTGTCATGCCGTCCCTGCCCAGAGGCTCCTCGCTGCCTGGTGCACAAGGGGCCTGGGCCCCCAAGCCTGTGAGCACAACCACTCAGTTCGAACCTGCCCGTGTTCACCTGGCTGCCTCAGCCTCCCACTTTTACCTGTGTTGTCCTGTCCCCGGGAGCCCAGCCCCACCACTCGTGCGGTCTGCGGCCCTGACGCTGCCCCTGGCTCTTGCTTGGACAAAGTCTTACTTCTCTAACATGCCTAAGAGCAGGAACGGAGTCGTACAGAGCACTCAGTGTGTTGCCCGTGACTTGAGTTGAATATGAAAAGAGCCCTCTTCTGGAGATCTTGGCTACCAAACAATCTCCGAAGTCACACCCTGAATGTCTGACTCAGATGCCTCTGGGTATCATCACTGCGGAGCCATCCACTCTCCTTCAGGATTCCAGTTGATGTGGATCATGCCACTCCCGAGGCCAATGGAAATGATGAAGGGAAACGTGTTTGTATAAAGGCCTTTCTTGGTAGCTCAGTCTGAATGCGTGGAGAATTCTTGATCATTCTCCTTTCCAAACATGCATTTGGCTGCACTCTCTGCCAGGAAGTGAACAACCGTGACGAGAATTCACTGCCGTAGCTCCCTTGGTCAGAGGCTGACATTTGCCAGGCAGAGCACTCCCCCATCCCCCGTCCATCCCTAATTATGGCCGTTTCATCACCAATGCTTTCATGACCTCCACAACCTTCTACTGCTCACTTGGCCTCACTGCCTCTGTGGGACGCCCCCTTGACAGACCCGCCTCTCCAGTGGATTGCACACCCAGCATGCAGTCTGGCTGAGCTGGGGATATGAGGTGCGCTTGGGAAAAGGCTCTGCATAAGGGGATGCCAAGGAAGTGACATCTGCCCTCCAAATAAACTGAACATTTCACATTTTGAAAGATACAGAAGCTGCATGTTTTTTAAGTTTTCCTAATATTCTGACAATTATATTTTATTTTTTATAGACCTAAATCAACTGGTCACCTTAGAACTGGAAGGAAACCATCTCAGTGAATCCAACGTCAACCCTTTGGCTTTTAAATCTTTGAAGAGCTTATCCTACCTGCGTCTGGGAAGAAATAAATTCAGAATTATACCACAGGGACTTCCTGCTTCTATTGAGGTACCACTGTCTTTCTTCCAATGTTTTACATTTTAAATACAGTCTACCTGAATAAACAAAGGCATTATTTTAAAACTTTATTGTGCTGCACATTAAACCCCGTTTTGGTGCTATATACAGAATTTACTATAATTTGAACATTGCTGTTTCCTCAAGCAATACAAAATTATAATTATTAATAGAGAAAACTGGCCTTCCTTGCTCTTAGAGGGAGAACGGGGAAGATGGACTGAGAACGTAAAGTAAACAGAAACTACAACTTGCAAGACAGCATCCCAGTTCCACCCAGCGCCCGCCAGTGCCCAGCACTGCTTTCCCACCCCATGTGCAGGCCAGGGCCTCACAGCCAAGTACACACCCTACTTCCGGCATGGACAGCAGAGGTCTGGCGGACCTCCCCCACACCCCTCAGCTGTGGGCCCACTGCCCACAGAGCCACTGGCCCGGGTCAGCCACGGCTGCTGCAGGGCCACCCTTGTTTACCCTTCTACTGGCACATTAAGAGAGAAGTTTAGAATTTATCAAAATTGTAAAGATTGAGGTTTCAACACTGGGCTTTATGTCAGAAGGACATACAGGCCCCTTACACTATCTAAGACATCCTCAGTCAGGTTCTTTGAGGGTGGGGTCAGTAATTTATAATTTTTTAAATTAAGATTTTAATACATGATGCACACAAGTAAAACATGCGCAACTGGAATAATATGGGGGAGCACAGGGTCTCCAAATGTGCCTGAATGTCCTTCCCAGGTTCTGCTTCCAGAGGTGCCCTCTCACTAGCAGGGGAGGTGACATCCGTGCAGGCGTGTCGCTCTAACCCTTCCAGGGCCCTGCTTCCCAGACACAAGAATCTAGGGTGTGGATGAGTGTGCTCTCACTGGGGTACATTTAGGTTGGAATTTACACTTTAAAAGGCTCATGACTGATTCTAATATGCAACCAAATTTGGGAACCACTGATGTGGTTTATCCCTAAATATGTATGAAGCTAAAAGCAAAAAGCTAAAGATTGCTTTACCCCTTTCTTTTTTAAACTTTTTTTTTTGAAGTTTATTTTTATTTATTTTGAGAGAGAAATAGAGAGCGAGTGGAGGAGGGGCAGAGAGAGTGGGAAAGGGAGAATCCCAAGCAGGCCATGTGCTATCAGCATACAACCCAATGTAGGGCTTGAACCCATGAACGGTGAGACTATGACCTGAACTGAAACCAAGAGTTGGACGCTTAACCAACTGAGCCACCCAGGCGCCCCTGCTTTGCCCATTTCTAATAAGTAAGAAAACTATAGGAAAAGAGGAGGAAATTAGTACAACAGGAATAGACAGTTACACTGAAGATGTATACCAACGTCTGCTTCTAATTTCCAACAAGATTCTTGAGTGAAAAACTCCCTCTAAGGCCAAGGAACTTAACTTGAAGGCAGTTGGCTGTTGAAAACAACAGCTCTAGCAAACTACCCTGATATTAAATCAAGATTCTTGATTAACTTTTCGTTAAGTTAATCTTAATACAAGTCAATCTAAAAACCTGACAGGGAGCATGCACTTGTGGGAAGTGGCCTGCCCCGAAGCCGGGACCTGGCAGGGATGTGTCCCTTTTGCACAAGGAGTGGGACCATGTGCCTCTTCATCTCTCCAGCGTGGAGCGTTTCCACTACTGAAGGGGGAATGATCATTTCTACCTATTTTCTAGGGTTTTAAAGCCCAAATGAGACAATTTACATTAACAGGTTTTGTAAATTAGAGAGTTTTATACAATTATGGTATGCTGTATTTTGCAAATTATCATGGTTAAAAACTTATGACCATGAAAGATGACACATTTTATTTCACTAATTAGTTAGAAAAGGACAACTTACAATAAATATAGCAAACTCACTTGGAAAAGCTGTAGACTCTTCAGACAGCACTAAAGAGAGCAGTCTACAACACCATCTTCATCCCTGTGAAACTGAATATATGCGCCAACCAACACCCAACCACAAAAAAAATGTCTGTTCTCTGAATTATAGGAATTATACCTGGAGAATAACCAAATTGAAGAAATAACCGAGATTTGTTTCAATCACACCAGGAAGATCAATGTCATTGTGCTACGATTTAATAAAATTGAAGAAAACAGGATTGCTCCTTTAGCCTGGATAAATCAAGAGTGAGTATCCACTGCTGTCTGACTGTCTTAGACAGTTTCTTCCCTCTGCCATTACTGCACAGGGTATGAACAAGTGACACCCTTTCACAGTGAACCCCCCCCAAACCTGCCTATCTGCCTGGAGCCCATACCATGTGTGGTACAGCTGGTGTTGAGGTGACCATGGTCACTGTTACTTGGACATCCTGCCACACGCCCAAGTGCGGAGTGACCCAAGGTCCATCTCGCAGGTGGTCAGGAAGTTGAAGCGAGGCCAGACCTGCCCCTTGTGAGAAAGAAAGATGCCCCCTTCCCCCTGAGGGACCTCACGGTCTCACGCCTCCAAACCATTTCTCTGTCTCAAGTCTTATACAACAGGTGGAAGGATGTGTGGCCTGAGAAGACAGGCAGCAAGCAGGGTCCATGGCTGGTGTGAGGGTCTTGCCTGTCAGGAGGGGCAGGACAGCCCTTGAGGACAGGGTGAGGGGGAGCCAGGTGGGGCCATGTGGGGGGGCATGAGGGACCTGCGTGGCACAGTGGATACAGGCATCTTTCAGGGGCAGGACAGAGGCATGAGACAGCCTCGGGGCCAGCTGAGCCCAGCAGGACGTGGTGGCGGCAGGGTGACTCAGAAGCCACAGGGGAAGCTTCTGAAACTACCAGGCAGCCCCCTTTTCTAGACCCTCGTCATCATAAGCCCTAGGTGCCAGGCTGTCAGATCAGGTGTGGAGCAGAGGCGGTTTCAGGGATAGGCAGCTGGACATTTGACCCCAGAGACAGTGGCTCACTACCGCCCCAGGAATGAGCTTTTCTTCCTGAACCTGGTGCTGCTTGCACTGGAATTGGAACAGCTGAGTAGTGACCGGGTAGGAGCGGGAGCCTCGAGGCCCCTCTCACACAGAAGTCACTACTGCACACCCAGCAGTGGCAGGAAAACGGCTGAGCACCGTCCCTGCGCCACGCTCCGTCCTGCTCACCCTTCTTTGCTGCAGAAATCTCGAGTCCATTGACCTGTCCTACAACAAGCTCTACCACGTCCCCTCCTACTTGCCCAAGTCACTGTTGCACCTCGTGCTCCTTGGGAACCAGATCGAGCGCATCCCTGGCTACGTGTTTGGCCACATGGATCCAGGCCTGGAGTACCTGTACCTGTCGTTCAACAGACTCTCTGATGAAGGCGTGGACCGAGTCTCCTTCTACGGGGCATACCATTCTCTGCGAGAGCTGTTTCTGGATCACAATGACTTAAAATCTATACCACCTGGGGTACAAGAAATGAAAGCACTTCATTTTCTGAGGCTGAACAACAACAAGATACGGTAAATTTTGGCTTTTTCAAGTATCGATTTAAATTGCTGTGGTTGACAGAGTATATGAGTAAACAACCATGACGTGATGTCTGGGATTTACTTCTAAGGGGAAAGAAAGGACAAGAGGTCACACTTAACAAGACAGGCAGATATTCGTTATTACTGACGAAGGGGGTGACAGGCACTCAAGGATTCATCATAGCTTTTTTCTACTTCTGTATGTTTGCAAACTTTCATGGTAAAAACCTTTAGAACAGAATATTATTACCTAATACTGAGAACTTAAGAGGTGGTTTGAAGAGAGGCTTTGAGATGGGAGATTACGGTGCTTCTCTTACCCCATATAATTTAAAAAATTCTAATCTGTAGAGCATAATACCTGAATATATGCTAAAATTAAAACTGATTCTATCTAGATATTTCCTGAGGGAAAAATTCTGAATAAAATTATTGAGTCTCAACATCTCTCACTTCTGGGGACACAATTTCCTATCTGCCTAAAAAGCAGGAAGGTCTCAAGGATTCATCTGCAATTGTGTGGTAGTGTGGTCAGAGGCCAACCCTTGAGATGGGGTCTTGTCCCTGAGGATACTACCCCTTCCCCCTTTCTCTGTCTCTAAAATTCCAAACACAAACTCCCAAAAACAAAAGAGGGAAAGAGTCAAAGGTATATAACAGCACTGGGGAAAGAGGCAGGAGTGGGGAAGGCTATATAAGATTCAGTTAAAAACTGTTTGGCCAGAGCACTTCATAGGCTGTGCTCTGTGCTTTCTATTTACATCAGAATGCACACGTCTGGGGGCGCCTGGGTGGCTTAGTCGGTTAAGCGTCCGACTTTCGCTTAGGTCATGATCTCGCGGTTCGTGGGTTCGAGCCCTGGGTCAGGCTCTGTGCTGCCTGGCAGCTCAGAGCCTGGAGCCTATTTCGGAGTCTGTGTCTCCCTCTCTCTCTGACCCTCCCCTGCTCACGCTGTCTCTCTCTCTTAGAAATAAAAAAAAAATTAAAAAAAAAGGAATGCACATGTCTGCCCCACTTCCGGTGGGATTTGGGTGGTCACAGCCTGATAACTTGATTAATACCTTTCTCCTCCACCTCTGAACCAATGGGTTTCATTCACGGACAACTGTTGCTGAACCTCTTATTTCCCTAAGGCAACAAACTGGGGAGCCCCATGTTTGTTATTCTTCCCAGATTTGTTAGCTGGAACTGGTTACCAACCAGGGCCACTCTGTTACGGGGGGTGGGTGGGTAAGATGAATGCTCTGTCCAATCAGAGCAAGAGGCTGGCTAAAAATTACTAATCATGTGAGCTGGCAGATGTTACCTAAACTTAACGTGGAGATCATTCTGCAGGATCTACAAATGCCAAATTGTCATACACCTTAAACTATCATGTCACTTGTTAATTCTACCTTTATGAAACTGGAAAAAAAAGATATATATGTATTAAATATGAATGGAAAGGACTATAAAATATATTAAAATGTTAACAGCAGCTGTCTCAGGAAAAAAAAGAAGTCAGTGCCTAAGTGTTTGCGTTTTATAGTTTTTGGCTTTCTCTCTTCCTCTGGAGAAACAATGTGAACTCATGGTTTTATATATTCAGAATGCTTTCATCAACTATAATTATTGTTCTTAAACTCCACTCCTTGGCCAGAGGTACCGCTCGGAGCTGGCTCCGTGTCCCTGGAGAGGCCTCTCCTGAGGTGGGCAGCGCTCCCATCCCCTGCTGTGCACCGGTGACAGCCTTCTCCCAGAGATGCCCAAGCCCCCCTCCATGGGAGCAGCATCCACACGCCCCAGGCTGGGGACCAGGCACCATCTTTTCTAAAGTGTCGTTACTGGTTCAAGGCTTGACGTGAACTGCCAGGAAATAGGTATTTTATAAAGAAAAAGAACAGAAGTTCATACTCGTGTTCCCAATTCAAATTTAACCACAGAGAGTATTGTTTTTGTTTTATTTTTTATTTTATTTTATTTTTAATGTTTTATTTATTTCTAGGAGAGAGAGACAGCGTGAGCAGGGGAGGGTCAGAGAGAGAGGGAGTCACAGACTGAAACAGGCTCCAGGCTCCGAGCTGGCAGTCAGCACAGAACCCGACGCGGGGCTCGAACCCACAAACTGCAAGATCATGACCTAAGCAAAAGTCGGAAAGTCGGACGCTTAACCGACTACGCCACCCAGGCGCCCCTGTTTTTGTTTTAAATTTGTTCATCTTATACTGGGAATCTAGGTTCTCAACAATATTAACTAAGTCATTATCTTACAACATACAAACAATAGTTTCAAAGTGAGAACACCATTATTACAAGAACAAAACAAAAGTACTGACTTAAGTATACAGTGTTTTGGGAGCTCTATTTGTCTTTAGAATATGTTCCACAAAGGATGTGTAGCTGAAATATTGTGGCTTACTCTGTAACAATATTTCAACAACTTAATATTCATATAAGGTCTTTGTTTTTGGTTTCAGAGAATTACTATTTTCTATTTGATTAATATTATTTTTACTATGTTAAATACTTACATAATTCCAGAGTTGAAACTGTGTAAGAAGGTATGTTAAGAGAAGTCTTTCTCTTATGCCTGTCCCTTATACTGTAGTCCATCATTCTGCTTATTAATTTTTTAAAATTAATTTGTAGTATTTCCTTCCAGTATTTTTTTGGCAAATATAAGCATACGTAGATACACATATTCCCCATACTCTTCCACAGTCACTATACAAATCATTACACAGAAAGGATTTTTCTGTTTTCTCTCTCTCTAGAGTGCCACTTGTTTTTTAATGTCTTATCTTATTTTGGAGAGGGGGGAGAGAGAGTGATAGAGTGAGCACAAGTGGGGGACGGGCAGAGAGAGAGAGAGAGAGAGAGAGAGAGAGGGAGAGACAGACAGACAGACAGAGAGACAGAATCCGAAGCAGGCTCCAGGCTCTGAGCTGTCAGCACAGAGCCTGATATGGGGCCTGAACTCATGAACTGAGCTGAAGTCAGACGCTTAAGTGACTGAGCAATCTAGGTTCCCCTAGAGTGGTAACTTTTTTTTTTACTCTTTACTTTTTATTATTATCAATATAGCCTTACTATCACTCCTTATCAGTATATGGAGACTTTTTAAAATTCTTTTTACAACTGACCAGTATTCTATTATGTGGATACTTTATTTAATCAGTTCCTTATTGACAGATGTCTAACTGTTTCCATTCTTTTATTACTACAAATAGTGCCATAATGCATAACTTTGGACAGCAGTTTATATTTTTCCAGACTAATTCTGGGATAGGTTCCTAGAAGGGAGACTGCTGAGTGAAAGGGCAAAATGTGATCCTGCTAGGTACTGCCAAGTCCACCCTTGGGGCTGTGCTGTTCTGAATTCCCTCCAGTACTGTGTGATTCTGCACAGCCCCATTATCAGACCATGTTGATGAGCTTCTGAATTTTCTTTTTGTGAGGCAAATCTGGTTAAGTGGAGTGGTGTGCCAGGATATTTTCAACGTGCATTTCTCTTATCATGAATGAAACTAAGCATTTCTTCATGTTTATGTCATTTCATTTTTTCTCCCAGTGAGCTGGTTACCAGGGCATTCCCCTCCCTCCCACCCCCGACTTTTTTTTCTGCATAGGTTTTTAGGAGGTCTCTGTTCATTGGCCCTAGATCTGTGATGTAAGTTGCAAAAGCTTTCTTCTAGTCTGCCATTTGTCTTTTAACTTTGCATTTTTAAAAGCTCTGTAGTGACTTTATTAATCTTTTCTTTTAGTGCTTCTGAGTTTTGAGTCATAGGGCGATTTTTTCCCCCATGCTCCTAGGGTATACTTTATTCTTCATTTTTCACATGTAGATCTTTGATATACTTAAAATTTTTTCTAGCATATAAGAAAAAGATCCAATTTTATTAAAACAATTTTTTTGGGGGGGTGCCTCAGTGGCTTAGTCAGTTACGTGTCCAACTTCGGCTCAGGTCATGATCTCACGGTTTGTGAGTTCAAGCCCTGCGTTAGGCTCTGTGCTGACAGCCAGCTTAGAGCCTGGAGCCTGTTTCAGATTCTGTCTCTCCCTCTTTCTCTGACCCTCCCTGCTCATGCTGTTTCTCTCTATCTCAGAAATAAATAAAACATTAAAAAAAAATTTGAGTGCCTGGGTGGCTTAGTCAGTTAAGCCTCCAACTTCAGTTCAGGTCATGATCTCACAGTTCGTGGGTTCAAGCCTTGTCTCGGTCTCTGTGCTGACAGCTCAGAGCCTGGAGCCTGCTTCAGATTCTGTGTCTCCCTCTCTCTCTGACCCTCCCCCACTTGTACTTCGTCTCTCTCTCTCTCAAAAATAAGTAAATGTTAAAAAAAAAATTTTAAACAAAACAAATTTTAAGCAAATATAACTTGGAAATCATTTGTTTAATTAGATTACTTCCCTAAAAGTTTTATGATTTGTTGTTCTTCAAAATGATTAAGAATTCCTTGTAAAAACTATGCCATTTTTTGCTGTATACCCAACATTAGTCAGGAACCACTGACATGTAGACAAAAGCATATCCTGGGTAGTGAAAATGGATATCAAATAGCTTCTGGGGTCTGGCTGAGCTCACCAATACAACAATGTGAAACTAACTCTTTAATACCAGAATTGATCTCATAACTTCCAGCTTATTTTTGCCAAGTTATCAAAGACAACAACCAACTAATCTGCCAAACTGAGGGATACTGAATTACCCTGGAGCACCAGAAAGTTCTTCTCACAGAAATGAGTTGATTCTTCACGAGATGATTTCCTTCAAATAACTAGAACAACCAAGTTAGCATCTTTCCTAAGGCTCATTTTCGTTTCTGACAGATGTCCTAAAGGAATGTCCTCAAATTTCAAACCTATTACTTACGAGAGGCTATAACAGCATTTTTCATTTTGTGTGCATTAGTTTGTACCTTCATGAAACAAAACATTTGCCCACAGAATATGAGTAAATGTTAATAACGATATAAAGAAAACAGGCCGAAATAAAGGGTAGAATTTCAACATGTTTGTAAGTAGTACATATGAACAGTTGGCCGGACTTCCACATTCCAAGGATATTTCTTTTTGTCAAACGCTCTGTATCTTCAACAAGAGCAAAACCCAGTCTGAATAAATAAAAAATAAAAAATAAAAAAATAAAAGCTTTGCTAAGTCAAAAAAATAAATAAATAAAATAAAATAAAACAACTTAAAAAAAAAAAACCCAGTCTGAGATAAAAAATGTAAGGATAGTTTTGATCATAAAGAGGCATCCATTAGATATGACGGTTAATGCCAAGCCTTGTATTAATAGATCCAATATGTCTTTAAATGTGGCTATAAAGACTAAAGTTGTGGGCTGAGCTATAAAACACAAGACTGCAAGTACCATGAACACTCATGTAACTAATAAATGGAAACTCATTTGATCACTCAAATTTAATATTTTCCCACCAGTCCTTTTTGATATTCAGAACTCAAATTCTGGAAACAATTGAATGGACTTGCTTTCTTGTTTCCTTAACACATTTTTTTAATAAAAGTTATTTAGAAAATTATCCCTTCCCCCTCATGTTCCTTTATAGTTTTTGCTGAAATTCATTTATTTTCTGTCTTCAACCATGTTATACTCTCCGGTCCTTGAAGATAAAAAGCACCAAAACTTAAAAAAAATTATAAACTTTAACTAAGTCATATAAAGCTTAATACTGCTTGGACCATTTATGGTTTGTATATCTATTTTTCCTTAGGAATATTCTTCCAGAACAAATTTGCAATGCTGAAGAAGATGGTGATTCAACCCTGGAACATCTTCATCTTGAAAACAATTATATTAACACAAGAGAAATATCATCCTATGCATTTTCATGTATAAGATCATATTCAAGTATAGTTCTTAAACCACAAAATATCACATAATTCCAAGTTTTTATTCATCACTTACAAACTGTACTCCTGTATTTATCCCAGTAGTATCTGTCATCAATAAGTGAGACCCAACCCACAGAGAAACAACCAAAACACACACTGAGTTTAGTTTTCCAGCAGTCTTAGTGAGAATTCAGCTTTACACTATAGAAAAAAGCCCTCTCCTGCAACTTTTCTCAAGAGAACAAGAAGATGTTATTTGCTGCTGAATTAGATTGGGGAAATCTGGAGCAAAATAAGTATGTCCTTTACAGCAAACCTGAGTATTGCTTTTAGCTAGGCTCTAAGTCCCTTTAAAAATTACATGTTAAGGTCCAAGACCAAGAAGTGTATGGCAGGAAAAAATAACAGGTGGAATTTATAAATTAATGTTCTGTTTATTATCCTACTGTTAAAGTAATATATTAATTTTCTATCAGATCCTATGCTACAATTATTGGTATAATGATGCTTAGTGACTGGCTTTGCTTGGTTCCTTTTTTCATCCCACATATAAAATTAAAACACTCCTGTCATGTTAATTTCCTGGCTGTGAGGACTGGAGGGAGTATGGTTATATGCTGCCTATTAACATTAGAGGAAGCTAGAAGAAGGGCATATGTGAATTCTATACTATTTTTGAAACTTTGCTGCAAAATCGAAAATTTCTGTGTCAGTTTAAAAGATTTAACAGTATTTTAAGATCCTCATTATTCTTTATTCAAGATCAAAAGATTTTATGGAAAGTAGTGGACTTTGCTTAAAAATGTGTTCACCGTCCATAACGACAACCTTATAAACCTGAGGCATACATTTTTGAAAATTTTTGGTCCAATGGTTACTGTTAGCAACTACCTTCTTTGAATGTGCTTGAAAGTGAACTTTTATTCAGTTCAGTTTAACATAAAGCTATTAGTATTTACTATGTACTGGAACCTACCAAACATATATAGTATTAAAATTTTTATTATGTAATGATCTTCTGTCTGTATATCTGGAATAATTTATAAAGGACACATACAGAAACTATGCTGACTTCTTTTGCTGCTCTCAGCTTTGTGTCTAGGAGCTCATATTCAGGTTACTCTAACTTTTCAAACTTCAGTGACCTAACCTTTCAGTAGCGGTCTTGCCATGTGGGGGAGCTCCCAGCCGCACTTAGAGAGCCATCATGAAAAGCTCTGAAAAACATCTGGGAAGTGTGGTAAGCAGGTGAGTGTACTACTTATTACCAACCTTTCATATAAAATTGACAGCAACAGGCATATTCACCAAAGCTATTTCCTGAGTAACTTTCTCAGATATGAGTTTGATTTATCCTATTTGAGCTTATTTTATTTCCTTAAAAAATATTTTTAAGTAATCTCTACAACCAATGTGGGGCTCAAACTTATGACCCTGAGATTAAGAGTCACAGGCCCCACCTACTGCCAGCCAGGTATCCCAAGCTAATTGTATTTCTAAGCCCTTCTTTCTAGGTACCCTCTCATACTAGTTAGGATTTTGAGATTATAACATGAACAAGAATAATATGATGAAGACTGTTAGAACCAAGGGAAGAGGCTTAAGCCAGGTGGCTAAGAGCAGAAGCTGAATCTTATGGAACAAAAAAGTTGAGATTTATAACCAGTTTAGGAAAGTAGAAGCATTGCTAATTTAAATTGGCCAAGTTGAGTAGAAGAGACAGATAAAAATAAGAATATACAGTTATTCATTCCTTTAACAGGAACCTTTAGGGAATGCTTCTTGCTGTGTGAACATAAATGCACTGGCATAAGCTGTTGAAGGCAGTCTAGGGAGCAAAGTTCAAGGTGAGTCAACAGAATTTGCATGCACCCTGGGACAATGCAGATGAACATTATGCCATTCCTGTACTTATTTCTCACTCTGACTTTAAGCTGTATTCCAGATGCTGTTGTAGACAGACAGGGATAAACAGAATTGGAGAGGTCTCTACTCTCTGGGAACATGGTGTGGTTGGGGAAATAAGGTGCAATGAATTCAGCAGAAAGGGTGGGGCTGTGGTGAAGCATGCTGGGGTCCTCAGCTCCCTCTGCCTGGGCCCAGGAGAGTGCAGGCCCCATGAGTCACAGTGGGGCGCTGCCCTCCCCCTGCCTGGCAGCCCTGGAGTGTCACAAGGCCCAGGCACACAGTCAGAGCCCACTGTGCAACTGGAACACCTTGACAGGAAGAGATTCTCTAGGAAGGCTGAAAATCAGAGCGACTGACGGAAGCATTGCTCGCAAGTTGGAACACACTTTTATTTTTTATTTTATAACTTAAAATATAAAATATGTCTAGCAATGAACATGTTCAGCCTTGAAATTTTATCATGTGCTGGATAAGAAATTTTAATTCCATTAAAAAAGAGTGATAAATGTCCTTACGGCAAACATTCTTCATGATACAATGTTAAAAACAAACAGATGTTCTGGTTGGCTTCAGGAATATGCTGTAATTACTAACACATATGTACACTGAGAAAGTACTGGCGTAGCTATGATTTAAAAATATTAATGGTGTGTGCACATATACACAAGGAATGCTAACTATATTTTTAATTCTGAGATTTGGCTTAAAATTATTACAAAAAGCACTAAAGATATGACACAGTGAAAGACACGTATAGCCTGGAATTATAAAGAAATAACTACACCAGGAATCAGGATGCCTGGGTGCCCACCTTGATCTCCGATGATTAAACTGTGTATACTCGCTTCGCTTGTCTGGGATCACTTGATTTAATTATGACAGAATGTGTCTGGAACAGATGAGTGGTTTTCAAGCATGGGTTGTCAGGGGTTCATGACACCCTGGGGTGGAAGGGTCCTGAAGAAGTGCACAGACTCTCCTTCAGACAAAGTGGCCTTGCTAACTTCAGAGAGATTAGCTGCCCCTGCCCTTCCCACCTCCCTTTTCTTAGAACCAATGGAAAGGCGCTATCTGAATCACAAACCAAGTTTTAAGATTCACAAAGAACAAGCACCAAAGTCTCTGGTCCTTCCCTAACCCTCTGCCCGGCTCCTTTCCACTTGAAGAACACATGGCTGGAGAGCCTTGGCCTGAGGAAAGGTTTCGCAGGTGCCTAAAAGCAGCCAAATTCCCTGGGTGCTGGGCAAGGAAGTCTAGCTGGCATGACGACTCCTTTGCAGCTCCAGCACAGTGGGGTGGCAACACTGGGCAGCTCTGCAACAACCGAAGTCTGCCGACCTCTGACATGAAACACCCTGGAGGGCAGACAGCTGAGCATATGTCTTCTGGACGGAGCGCAGTCAGGCCCACATCCTCCATTCCCGCCACAACCATGACTCCCTGGGCAGCAGGCAGGTCAGGACACCGTGGCAAGAGTGGGTGGGTGTCACTAGGAAGCACTGGGGGTACACGGGTGAGCCTGGACTTACTCTGCATCTTCTGACTGAAGCCCAACGAGTGGGAAGTCTGGACACCCGAGTGGGTGCTGGGCACCTAGTGTGGTGGGTGCTGCCTGCAGGGGAGAGCAAGATCCAACCATCTCTCCACGGGCTTGCACTGCCAGATGACTCCACACGCCACTGCGGGAGTCAGCCTCACAGAGTCCAAGTTTATTACTCCTTAAGGTGACTGCTTTCATTAACATGGAAAAAGAAGGAAAAACATTCTTTTTTTGTGTGGTGTCTTTATCTGGTTTTGGCATCAGGGTATGACTGGCCTCCTAGAATGAATGTGGAAGCTTTCCTTCCTCTTTTATATTTTTATGGAATAGTTTGAGAAGAATAGGTATTATCTCTTCTTTAAATGCTGGGCACCTGTGTTGCTCAGTCAGTTAAGCGTCTGACTTGATTTTGGCTCAGGTCCTGATCTTGCAGTTTGTGAGGTTAAGCCCCGTGCTGGGCTCTTTGATGATGGTGTGGAGCCTGCTTGGGATTCTTTCTCTCCTCTCTCTGCCCCTCCCCAGCTCTCTCTCTCTCTCAAAATAAACATTTAAAAGAATTAAAAATAAATGTTTGGTAGAACTCCCCTGTGAAGCCATCTGGTCCTGGACTTTTATTTATAGTTGGCTTTATTGATTACTAATAATTGGTCTGTTCAAATTTTCTATTTCTTCCTGATGCAGTTTTGGGAGATAATATGGCTTTTATCCATTTCTTCTGGGTTGTTCAATTTTTTGGCATATAATTTTTCATTATATTCTCTTATAATCCTTTGTGTTTCTTTGGTGTTGGTTATTATTTCTCCTCCTTCATTTCTGATCTTCAGTCCTGTCTCCTTTTTTCTTGATGAGTCTGCCAAAAGGTTTATTAATTTAGTTTACCTTTTCAAAGAACCAACTTCCGGTTTCATCGATCTATTCAATTGCTTTTTAGTTTCTTACCATTTATTTCTGCTCTAATCTTTATTATTTCCTCCCTTCTTCTGGCTTTGGGTTTTCTTTGTTGTTCCTTTTCTAGCTCCTAAGGTTAGGTCTAAGGTTAGGTTGTTTATTTGAGATTTTTCTTGCTTCCTGAGGTAAGCTTGTATTGCTAAAAACTTCCCTCTTAGAACAGCTTTTGCTGAATCCCAAAGATTCTGGACCTTTGTGTTTTCATTTTCATTGGTCTCTAGGTATTTTTAAATTTCCTCTTTGATTTCTTGCTTGAATTGTTTGTTGGTTAGCAGTACGTTATTTAGCTTCCAATGTATTTATGTTCTTTCCAGATTTTTTCTTGTGATTGGTCTATTCTGGAAAATGTTCCATGTGCGCTTGAAAAGAATGTGTATTCTACTGGTTTTGGATGGAATGTTCTGAATATATCTGCTAGATCCATCTGGTCCAATGAGTCATTCAAAGCAACTGTTCCTTTGTTGATTTTTGGTCTGGATGATCTGTCCATTGATGTCAGTGGGGTGTTAAAGTTCCCTACTATTATTAAATAATTCACCATGATCAAGTGGGATTTAATCCAGGGGTGCAAGCGTGGTTCAATATTTCAAATCAATGAATGTGATATGTCACATAAAGAAGAGAAAGGATAAGAACCATATGATCCTCTCAACAGATGTAAAAAAAGCATTTGACAAAGTACAACATTCATTCGTGATAAAAACCCTCAACAACATAGGTTTAGAGAGTATACCTTAATATAATAAAGGCCTTATATGAAAAATCCAAAGCCACCATCATACTCAACAGGGAAAAACTGAGAGCTTTCCCTCTAAGGTTGGAAATAAGACAAGGCTGTTCACTCTCACTACTTTTATTCAACTTCGTATGGGAAGTCCTTGCCACAGCAATCAGACAAGAAAAGGAATAAAAGGCATCCAAATTGGTAAGGAATAAGTAAAAATGTCACTATCTGTAGATGTCATGTAACTATATATAGAAAACCCTAAAGACTCCACCACAAAACTACTAGAACTGATAAACAACTTCAGTAATGTCACAGCATACAAAATTAAGATACAAAAATTGGTTGCATTCTTAAACATAAATAATGAAGCAGTAGAAAGAGAAATTAAGAAAACAATCCCATTTACAATTGTACCAAAAATAAAATATCTAGGAATAAATTTAATCAAGGAGGTAAAAAACTTGTACTCCAAAAACTATAAAACACTAATGAGAGAAACTGAAGTCAACACAAACAAATGGAAGGATATTCCATGTCAATGGTTTGGAAGAACTAATACTGTTAAAATGTCCATATTACCTAAAGCAGTCTACGGATTTAACGTAATCTCTATAAAAATATCAACAGCATTTTAAAAAGAACTAGAATAATCCTAAAATTTGTGTGGAACCGCAAAAGACCTGGTATAGTCAAAGAAATCTTGAGAAAGAACAAAATTGGTGGTACTACAATCCCAGATTTGAAGATACACTGCTGTAGTACTCAAAACAGTATGGTACTGGCACAGAAAGAAACATATTGATCAACAGAACAGAATATAGAGCACAGAAATAAATCCAATCTTCTATGATTAATAAACAACAAACGAGACAAGAATGTACAACAGGG